TATATATATATATATATATATATATATATATCAACCGACAGGGCCTATCTGTTTTATTATTTAACCATATTTTTCCAATCTTTGAATATGTGAATGAGGTAAGTCTAAAAGTAAGATGTATTATGTTTCAGTGTTTGAAAGTATGTTTTTTTCACAATAAACCACAAATTACCTTGTTGTTCAGGGAAAAATGTGGGAATACCTTTTCCTTTAGTATCAATTATCCTCATTCAAAAATGCTTATTCCTCTGAACACATGGGGTACCCACAGTTACGTAATAAAAAGTATGTCTATATTTCTGAGATGAGGTATTATATACAGTATGTACATTAGTCGGACTATTGTCTTCATCTTCATCGCTCCGGCCTTCTTCAGGTGGTTGGAATTTCGAACTGAACCCTTTATTTCGATCACTGGGGTAGACTGTTCTAGTTCCACGTGCCATGTTTGATGGATGTCAGTTATCAGTTATCTCCTGCTAATTTTCCCTCTGAAAGTTCTCCACTGCCTTAACCAGGAATTGAACTCACCTTCTTTGGGTCTATCACTGGATCTAACCAACGCCTTTATCCACTGTGCCATGTGTCCAACCACCTGAAGAAGGCCGGAGCGTACAACGGCCGAAAGGTTGTGACAAATCTGACGACAAAGATGAGGACAATAGTCCGACTAATGTAAATACAATAAAAATTCTGTTTTCTGAATGGGGAGTGCTGCACAGGAAGTTAGCGAATGTTGATGGAAAGGCTGCACTTGACATAAACAGAATAAGTAGATGGGTCAGTAGGCTTAATATCATATCCCCTTAGTAAGGCCTCACAATAGCAGGCCAGTTGCTGTTATTAATGAACAATTTGGTTATTATAAAACTCTTTTAAGCTCTTCAGGTGAGCTATGGTTGAGGATGTAATTTCACTTCTACTAAAAGGTCTGTAAAGAAGTTTCAGCATTCTTGAGTTGGCGCCATCAGACTTTCGCCTGTTGGGGTCCATGATGTTAGAAGCGATGACGGAGCAGTAGATACAGCGTAAGATTAAGAGCGATGAATTTCAAAGATATTTTTAGATATTTTATTTATAGGAAAGTTTCGTACTTTATATTGAGTTTCTTCTTTAAACCCATAACTGAATTCTTTTGTTAATAGGCTTGAATCGGATCGAGCCGATGCCATCCACACTCACAAGCGTTTAAAAATCCGTTACTAATAATGGTAGTTTAGTTACCACTCATTTTTATTTTGATGGAAGATAATGAAAGTGATATTAAGTTAAAACTTGATTATGTCCAGACTGTTTCTTAAGTAACACCATCCAAAACATGTACCTATTTTCAAAGGATCAACAGAAATTCCTTCACATCGAAACTCTTCGAGATCTTATTCAATTATTTATTATGTTAACAGAAGCAGATAGTTTCGTCTATCGCCTTCTTCATCTCTTGAACAAGATCAGTAGTTGGTTTCCTGCTTAAGATGAGATTACCGGTTCCGATGCCTTAATGAAAGCCACTGTCAACTTCTTGGTTATATGACTGGTGAGCTTTGGCATTTTTCTGGTTACTGCATTCATAATGGTAGCAAAAAGTTCGAACTCTTTGGTAACACATAGAGAGGCTACTCAAGTCAACAGTCGATTAAAATCGGGATTTTCGCAGTGATATGTCGCGCATGGACCGTTATCGCTGCAAGCATTTCCGGTGAGCAAACTTGATGCTACGTAATGTATTATCCAGCTTCCGGTCAGTTTATATTATCTTAGACGATGGGCATTAACAATTATTTTGATCAACCTCAAGTGAAATAGACAAACGATAAGTTGATCAATATACTGGAAAGTTTGTTGGCACATTCTGTCGCTCCAGGAAGTACTTGACTCTTCCCAGCATGCTTTATTTTTATAAGAGCCAGATCAGACTAAAATAAAGGCATGTTGTTGCTAATTCGTCAGGTTCATACTCCTCCACAGTCGTTTGAATAAGAGCTGAAATTTATCATTTGTTTCTTGTTCAGAATTGGTTTTCCAGTCGCTTCTAAATTTTACCCCAACTCTATACTTCTAACATCTCTGCCTAAGTTCTGGAATTGGGTTTCCGTTCCTTCTAAAGTCTTCGGTTTGGCTTTCACTTCCAGTAGCCACGTTGCATTGTTATTGCCAAAGGAAACGTCATTTTAAAGCATGTAAATAATAATATTGAAAAATAAGTATAAAATAACTGATGAGTTCATTTTCGGGTGCAGCCAAAACTGCTGCTGCTAAGTTCATTGAATGTGTTTTTTGTTGAATGCTTTTTTTGCTGGATTCAGCGGCGGAGGATTATTTTAAGTTCATGGTATCAGCCTTTGTGACAAAGGATGAGGCAGTTTTCAACAACCATGATTATGTCCTTTTCAGAATAGATCATTCGCCTCCTCTGGACCGTTTCAAAAAATGAAAAGAACTTTTTTTTATTTATTTACTTGACTTGACCATCAAATTTAGAACATTTATTACTTGACATGCAAAAGTTCTACAGGTATTATTATATACGCACTAGCAGTAGAGCCCGGCGTTGCCCGGAGATGTAACAGTAAGAGATAGATCAAGTATCGACCATCATAAAGACTGAAAAATAAAATTGACAAAGATTATTGTTTAAGGTTGATGGACACGCATGTCTTAATTAGTTTTTTTTTTCTTTTTTTTTACGAATTGGTCAAACCGAAACTCAAACAAAAGCATTGTTTTCAATCGTTATGAGTCTTCCGATTGAATTGAATTTTATTATAATTGTCTTGTAAATGGAATTTTTAAAGCATTCTGAATGAAAAACTGTGCAAGACAATAAGAAACACTACCTGCCAAAAAAGTGAAGTTTTGTTGAAATCAGTTGAAAAATGTAGGAAATCCGATCCCATATATAGACGAACACACACACACACACACACACACACACACCCACACACACGCACATTCACACACAAACAACCTGGGTTTTATAAGTATAACTCGATATGAGTTGTCCCCCTTTCATTCTCGTGATAGCGATGTCTCTTAATCGTGTTTTCAAATTGATTTCGTGCAAAAGCAATTGTGTTTTCCTAATTTTGGGCGCTGCCAGAACCACCGCAATGTAATTTTACGTAGTCCTCTGAAGTTTTGTTGAAATCGGTTGAAAAATGTAGGAAATCCAACCAATATATAAACGAACAGACACACACAACCTGGGTTTTATAATAAGTATGATTATAGTTCCATATTTTCAGCCGTAATGTTATATATCTACAAACTAATAAGAACCCGGGAATAAATCTCTCATCTTATTATAATTGTAATTGTGCTTGCTTCGTTATATCGCACGACCGTTACGTCCTGACACTATTATATATATATATATATATATATATATATATATATATATATATAGACTATAACCGATTTGATAGGATGGAAATAAAGGAAAGACACTACTTGGATTCAGTCAGAAAATTAAAGAAGAAAGAATGAAAGAAAGCAAGAAAAAAGAAAGAAAGAAAGAATGAATGAAAGCAAGCAAGCAAGAAAGAAAGAAAGAAAGAAAGAAAGAAAGAAGAGGAGATAGAAGCGTTCAAAAATCTTTTGCAAATATCTCATAAATCATGAACTATTTCGTTTTGAATGCGTGGGAAAACAAAACGTATCAGAGACTCTACTTGATTTCAGTGAGAAAATGAATGCAAGAAAAAAGAAGGAAATATAGAAATGTTTAATTGCTGTTTTTAGTGAAATGGAAAAAAAACCTTGCCAATTTCAAATCTTTCCATTTGTACCCCCTTACTTCTTAAAATAACAACCAGCATTCATATTTATGGTTGTTATTGTAATATTTCGTTAAAGTTGTTAAGCCCAAATATTTAACGGTGCCATAGAGGAATTTCTACGAATATTTTGTTGCCGTAGAACTCACCATGAGCTAACCAAATTACTAACTTTAGAATTAAAATAGGAAAACCGTGAAATTTTCACAGGTTAAAACTAGTACTCCTTAATCTTGTTTATTCAACCGCAGAATTGGATGTTTAACTTCCTCTTCCTGTCTCTTGAGAGGATGCTTATAACTCTCATCTGGTTTGTCTCACGTGTGAACATTCGGGATCGTCACGCGTTTACATATCAAGGAAAGCAATTGACATCTAGCGATGGGGCAGATCTACATCTGGCGACTAGAATGTCTTTCTCTGGTCAAAGCGCTTATTCACCTGACTTCTCTGATGGACACTAAATGTAAAATCAATTTTGGCAACCTCTGATGTGAGTCACAGCTTTAATGGCATACAGTTATTTGAAGCCTGTCTGTCCCTTAACTTTTCAGAAACTTAATAAAAAAAAATTACTTGCTAATGCTAATCAACGCCTTCATCACACATGCCACAGCAGATATACAAGGCAGATCGGTTGAACTGCTCACCGTTCCTTCATTGAGATATCGGAACGAAGCACTAGAAGTATTCGCTATTCTTTGAAGAGTAATAGCCAAATCCTGGAATCTATTGGAAGCAGGGATCTGTTCACTTCTTGCTCGGGAATTGCAACAACAAAAGCAACTACAACTACTCACTCACTTCTAAGGCACCATGTATTATAATTAAATCCATTTAATCTGCTCCGTCAACGGTTTTCTGCTAATCATCCGTGTTTGTTGATTCCGCAAATGTTAATTAGTCCTTATTCACAACGAATCTATCTGCATTCAGATGAGAATCTGTGATGTTTAAAAATATCCGTCCGTATATTCGCCCTGACATTCGTTCTCGCACGTATTCACAAGCAGCGGATAAATGATTTATTTTATGCTCTTCACACAAAGAAAAAACGCAACTGAGAAAAGTACTCATCGTATAAAGATTGTGTTTAGGGGATGTCGTATGTAAGATTAAGGGAAACTCTGATACGATGTCAAAGGTCATCATTCCGTCATCGATTTTCTTTTATTTTTCCACTTATATTCATCCAGTGCTAGTTTAAGAGCAATGTAAGTTAGAGCTACTGCAAAGTGGAAAAACCGCTTCCCGTATGATTACTGAAGTTAAGCAACATCGAACCTGGTAGGTACATAGATGGGTGACCGCTTAGGAATGGCAGGTGCTGTAAACTTGGATGTACGGGTGGTGTAACGGATTACGGATCTGAATTAGAAATCGGAGAGCTGAGTTCTAATTCCAGTCGTGTTTGTTATATTTACTTACGCGCAAATACCCTTCGGAAAGGCATGAATCCACCTCATCCGCTTAGTAATACGTTTATCACTAAACAATTATTATCTTCCATATAACCAAAAAATAATTCTTACAAAAGAAAGAATGAAAGAAAATATTAATATTATCCCATAAACTTCGAGATATATTTAAATTTGTATGAGTATAATTTAAAATAAATAAAACGAAATAATGCTTTTACAGATATCAGCTTTAAGATTTTCATTAATTCTATGGGCGCTTGCCCGAGAGCTTAGAACGTTCGCTTTCTGACAAGGAGACCCAGGTTCGAATCTTACCATGGGTGATTTGTTAGGAAGGAGACTCCCTTATGTTATCGACCTGGAGAGAGTATCGCAGTGTACGGTGCCTGAAAACCATACCATGGGTTGAGCAAAGCCTTGTGAGTGAAAATGAGTAGACGGAACACTTGAGGCTTGCATGAAGTCACGAGTCATCGTGACTGAGGGTTTGAGTGTGCTTGTGTTGTTTAGATTGTTGATCATTCTAGATAACACTTCTTAAGCAGAAACTGTAACTAAGGTCTGCTCGGAATAGTTGCAGTATTAACTATATGTGGGCTCCCTGCGTGTTGAAGGAACATAAATTTGCCTGAGAGCCTGCGGTAGGGATTGGCGAAAAACCATATAGTATAGAGTAGCGGCCATAATATAAGGAACAGAAACAACAAAGACATAAATATGTGTATTACTTAAAAAGTAATGCATGATTAGCAATGAAATTTTTACCGAATAAAGATTTGGGTGTAATGCATAAATATTATACAAAGTTACAAAAATTTACATAACAATTTTTTTTTTAAAATAATGTTTAAAGGAGACAAAGGAAATAAGCTACTGGACAAAAGTTAAGGAACGATGTTAATAATTTGCATAAACTTTTAATTTACATTGTTAAAAAACTCGATGGAGCTTTTCAACAATAAGCAAAAGTTCATTTATCAATATGACTTTATTTTTAAGCAATATGGCAAATTCTACACGCAAAACGCTCTCTTTTGAAGAAAAAACTCATTATCGATATCAAGAAAAAAGTCAATTTCAGAAAGTGTCGTTTATCGTGTCATTAGCAGGTATAAAACCGATAAAACGTTAGATGCAAAACCAAAAACCGGCAGACCTCCAAAAAGATCGAAGAATTGTTAGAATATCTACAAAAACTGTTTTGAAACTGCTACATCAATTGCCCATAAATTTAATGAAGAGACAGATAATAAGATCTCAATGAAAACGGTTGCGCAGGTTAAAAAATGCAGAATTGCATGCCCGTATTCCATCCTCGAAACCTCTCATTTCAAAGCGAAACCAAAGGGCACGCCTGGAGTATGTGAGAGAACATGTTGTTTGGACTGACGCACAATGGGATACAGTTAATTTCAATGACGAGTCCATGTGTACTATATTTGGTTCTGAGGGCAAAACTTACGTACGCCGTAGAACAGGTGAAAGACTGGCTTCTCAAAGTGTCAAGAAAACCGTTAAGTTTAGTGGCGGCAGTGTGATGGTGTGGGGAATGATTTCATCTGCAGGAGTTGGCCCTATCATCCGCGTACATGGCAATATCAATGCTGAGATTTACAAAAGGCTTCTTCAGCAGCATGTTGTACCAAGATTACACCATAATCTTTATGAATCTCCTATTTTCATGCAGGACAATGCAACTTGCCACAAGGCTCAGGGGGTTATGGCTTTATTTGAAGAAGAAGGAATCCCCCTAATGAAGTGGCCAGCACTGAGCACCGACCTGAATCCAATAGAAAATATTTGGAAGATGATTGGAGAAAGGGTTCAGAAAAGAAACCCGAAAAAACCAGGATCACGTATGGGAGTTATTGAAAGACGAATGGGAGGGAATCACTGCTGATATTTGCAAGAAATTAATTAGATCATGTGGTCGAAGATGTAGAGGAGTCATTGAAAATAAGGGAATGTTTATCAAATATTAAATTTTGTTGATATTTTGTTCACAATCAAATATTAACAAGATGGTTCCTTAACTTTTGTCCAGTAGCTTATTTCCTTTGTTCCATTTAATATTTATTTAAAAAAAAACAAAAAACTATTATGTAAATTTTTGTAACTTTGTATAATATTTATGCATTACACCCTAATCTTTATTCGGTAAAAATTTCATGGCTAATCATGCATTACTTTTTAAGTAATACACATATTTATGTCTTTGTTGTTTCCGTTCCTTATATTATGGCCGCTACTGTATATAAACTGTTATAATATATTAAAAAAAAATATTAAAAAAATATCCAAAGAACTCTGACTCAAAACAAAACAAATAATAAATGCTGTATAATCAAATCTTTCCATGTAGATATGTTGACACCAAATACGTTTGGTGAGTAGCGTCTCTATTCATCATCAGGAAAGTGTATCAGATTGGACGATCAAAAAAAAAAAATCAGATTCTGTTTGATATACGACAAAATGTTTTAAGTCAGCCTTTTTCCTACCATCGTAACGTGACATCCCTGTATCTGTAAATATTTTCATGGCAATTGTTTTGATGAGCTTTCCTCCTTGGTACATCAACCACATGAATTCAAGCGCAGTACTAGATTGGCAATTAGGTCTCATCGTTTAGCTGTTGAAATAGCTAAATATCACCTTAAGTTATATTGCAATAGTTTCCTTTCTCGTACTTCTCGCCTGTGGATATCTCTTCCGGTTTCTGGCTTCAATAATTTAAATGCAACGTCAATCGCCATCTACCGTCTTCTTGAATTCTATTCATTTATTGTACTATCTACTCGCTAACGTATATTCGTTTTCTCTTTACTATCTTTTAAGTATAAATGGTGAAAAAATAACAAGAGAGAAGCTACGCATTGGAGATGTCAAACTTAAGAAAATACAGAAGTAAAATATCTGGGCAGTGTTTCAACAGATGACTAAAAATGTGCCACCAAAATTCGAAGGTGTGCAGGCAGACCAAAGGCATCTTCCAAAAACGAAACAAAGCATAGAAAAAAGTGTTCTGAACCGCTGTGTAGTATAAATCCTTTTATCCAGTGACTGCTGGACAGTTTCCTTACAGATCAAGGGAAGACTTGAGGTCAGAGAGATTTGGAGGTACTGAAGGATACCGAGAATACCAAAGACAGACTATATAATCAGCGAGTTTTAAGGAAAATAGAAACAAAAAGGATATTTAAAATCAGAATCAAAGACTTAAAATTTCTGGAACTTATACTGAAGAAAGGTGAACTTCGACGTGGTGTAATGGTTAACAAGCTTGTCTGGCTAGATCAATTACGAATGAGTAGTGAGTTCGACCCTCATTGGGTCCTCCATACTTTCGGCCTTGTTCCACATCTATGCTATACTTAGAAAATCTCTAAATGCTAGGGCACTTCTACTTGGTGTAATGGTTAGCAAGCTTGTCTCGCAATATCCATTGAGACTGAATAGTGGGTTCGATCCTCACTGGATTCCACATACTTTCGGCTTTGTGCTTAGAAAATCATCAGAAGGTAAGAATGCTTGGAAAACTTTACGCTTAATGAATATATCTAATGCAACGGGGTGAGGAAAACAGTGAGTATTCTATCTAAAAGCTGTAAATGGACGGTAGAACAGGGAATAGTAAATAGACGAACATTGCTAAGATTTAGAAAGGACCGGAAGTGGTGGATCCATGACTTCTCATGTCTTGAATAGATACGACGCAATGAATTGGAATTATACGCTACCCAGTTCAAAATTATCGTTATTCTTCGGGGTTGACCAATTTTATTTCATGTCTGAGTAATTGTTGAGCTGAGTAAAAACTTTTTAAATAGGTAATGAAAAATTTCATAAATTGCTTGTTAAGGAATTTTAGATAGCCATGATTGCCTACGTCCTGAATGGACACAGAACATAAAAGATGAAGAAGATGAGATATTTCCATCTATTTTTTATGAGCAAGAGTAACAACGACAAAAATATACTTGGCTGTGCACAGGCGAAATAACAATAATTTTGAATATGTTCAAGAGGAAAAAAGCCAACACTAAAAATATATGAGTCCATATAATTTCATTTCCTTTTTTTTTTTTTTACATATATCTTCAATAAATAGTCAGATCAGATTTTTTTTTTCGTTTTTTTTTTTAACGCTTAGGTCAAAGATATAAATACGAGTGGGTATTTTATACTTGCTTATCGATTGTCACTCTTATATCGGTGGGAGAGTAAATAGAAAGATTTCCTAGACTAACTGGCCACTTCCGACCTGACTTAACAGTGCTTGTCAGCGTTTGTTTTTCGACTCTAGAACGTATTCTTTTAATGGTGTAGATCGGGTTCTAAATAACAGGGTCGTGAACAATTAATCGACTTACGAAGATGCAATTAACTTCTGTCGGCTGAAGATTTGGTTTTAATTATGTCAACCAGCCAACGGCGTATATTATATTAGAATAACCACATTATGCAATTTCCGTGGCATAAAAAGCGGCTCTGCGTAAAACGAGTTTTATTGTTAATTGCATCAAAACAAACAGGATAAAGTGACTCATTAATGGAAATAAGAAATGTTTTCGTTGTTTGAAATTTTTGAGGAATTACATTTTCAATACTCCACAAATAATTTGAACTAATATCCTTATCTTTATTGCTATATTAGAGTGTTTCTGCCGACATGATTTTGTGTCAAGAATGCATCAAAATTCATCGCTTGACTCAGTCTTGAGGTTAAATTTGAAACTAATTTTTCCCACTATATTGGTTGATTTATATATTCATAGCAGTAGATAGGTCCGCCTCTCGTCTGGTTCACCTGATTCTCCTCCGGTCTTTGGAACAGGAATAGAAGTTTATCTCTGGTTTCCAGTTTAGAATTTGATTTCCGGTTCTTTTGATGTCTTTTCATTCTCTTTCA